GAGAGAGAGAGAGAGAGAGAGAGAGAGAGAGAGAGAGGGGATAGCGCACACAATCGGATTTACGCTGCTGGTAAAAGCCTCATTGACCTTCTTTTCGGAAGTGTTGTTGGCAAGCCAAGAGAGCCTTGTTGCGAACGGCCCCAGGCGCACACGACGAGCCCGGCGAGAAAAAAAAAGTGACGGTTTCATATCAGTGCCTGCGACACTTGGGGGGGTGCAGGGCCACGGAGCCCCCTCGACTCTCCTCTTTTTGGGAAGAATGGGGCAGAGAGGCTTGCCCTCTCTCTCGCCTCTCTCTAACGTGCCCATCCCGGTTGAACCAGCTCCCCATACCCACACCGCTTCCTTCCTTTGACAACACATACCGCCGGTGTGCAGCTTCCCGTTACTTTCGGTGATTCCGGTGACAGGTGCAGAACCCCTCTTGCAACCTCTCTCTGCCCTCTTTTTGCTCACGGGTGGGCCGGTTTTGGCCAGATTTGCTAGCCTTCCCTCCCTCCCTCCCTCCCTCCCTCCCTTTCGAGTTCTCTCCCGAGAGATTGCAACAGCGAGAAGCAGCTGCCATGGAGCTGGCCACAGGGAGAGTCGTCAAGGATTCTTCGACTGGTCCTGGTGGCCGTGGTTCTGAGGCGGGGCGCTACGGTAGTAGCAGGTCCGAGGGGGAGAAGAGCGGCGGCGGCGGGGCACGGGACTACGCCAGAGACGGAGGAGGAGGAGGACGGAGTAGCGATAGGGACCGCGATAGGGACAGGCGTGGTGGCGGCGGCGACAAGCAGCAGTACAGGCGAAAGGGATCGTCGGAATCGAGGGGTGGAGGCGGGAGTACGCGGCACTACGGCGACAGCCGGCACGACAAGGCGTATCGATATACCAGCCATCGCGATCGGAGCAGCAGGTAGGAGAGAGAGCCTCATTTTTGCCACGTTTTTTTTTTTCAGCACCCTCCTCCCCCCCCTGCGTACTCTCTTTCGGAGAATCAACGTTATGGCGCGCGACGTTGGCGGGAAGGGCGCACCATGAGAGGAGCGAGGTCTCATCTTAAGTGTCGTTGTAAGCGAAAGTTAACTGCAAGGTTGGCTGGAGAGTTTTACGGAATTTTGTTGAAACGATCGTCTCTACATGTCGCGGAGTCGCGGAGGCGCCCGCCGTGTGACCTGCTGACTCGAGAACCTTTTTTTTTTTTTCACTAGCGACATGCTGCTCTACCCTCTTCTCGCAATGCGTGGATACTACACATACGGCATCGATTTATTCATGTCTCAAGTAATAGCTTCACCCCCTTGGTTGGGGTGCGTATTTGGCACCGAGGCAACAACATGGGGTGTAGCGGAAACCACTGCCTCTAGTGCAGGCATCATTCGTTAGTCTTGGTGCCTCCGTGGGCACTCTCCGAAAGCCTACTCGTATGTACACGTGCCACCGACGGCAGTACCTCTGACGCCGGCAGTAGCACACGTCTTCTACATACTCGTATGTACCGAAGAGGCAAGGCGGTCGCGCGGACGACGACCTCGCAAAAATGAAAGCGCACCGCTGTCGCCGTTGGTATTAGAGCAAACCATAGTGAGGCCACGAGCCGAGTGTTGTCATACCTTGTAGTGTAGTACGTTTTGTACGCCAGCATCCTGCCCAGCCCCTAAACGTTTGCATAGCCCCCGACACCGCTGGAAGGGTGGATTGCTTTTCCGATGCGGAATATGCGGAGGAGGCGGAGGAGGTGCGACTGTGTTCTTTGGCTGATTTCAGAGGCGTGTGGGATGTTTGTAGCTCCCACTTGCTTGTCTGGTCGCCGCTGTGTGTAACGGAGAAAAACGGTGCTTGTGTGTAAGTGGATCGAAGACAGACTTTCGTTCTTCCACGAAATTGCATTGCGGGTCGCACACCGTGTTGCTGAAAATGTTTCTGGACAAATCTCGAAACTTGCTTCTCTTGTCTCTCAATTTGAGTTTTATCCTGTTGAGCAACCGACTCCGCGTCATCCCGACTGCTGCAACTGCTTGGTCGGAATAGCGGGATGAACCTACTCCGCCATCACCGCCACCTGCTGTCGGCGACACGCTTTTCCACCCCATGCTTTCCTTCTCATCGGAAACCATTCCGGCGAGAAAGATGCCCCCCTCCACCTCCCCAACCTCCCTCACAAACCAACCCCCAGCCTCCAGCGCTCGCGTTGGCGGAGCGTGGTGCCGTGGCCCTGCCGTGTGGTTTACCTTCGGCTTGACCCCTCTCGTCTCCTGTTTTTGTCGTGTTTTTTTTTCTGTCGGGTAACACAACACTGCCCCCCTCCCCAAAGAAGACAGACGTTCACAAGGGAAACAAGGACTACTTCGCCGTGGCGGCGGGTGGGTGCTTGCTGACGGGGTTGGCGCGCCACTCTGTTAAAAGGCGTTTAGCAGTTGCTCCACAGCAGTAAGGTTGAGGGATACGGCCTCTACAATATCAGGTACCGATCCTGTCTCCCGCGAATCACCGATCACCCCCTAGTTCGTGCGATCCTTCCGAATGGCGGTTGTCCCATCAAATGCAAACGAGTACGTAGCGCCTGGATCGAGAATACATCGCTAGGAGAGGCGCAATGCAGCGCAGCTTTCTTTCGCCTCGCGTTTCCGTCTGTGATTGTTAGATTCTCCTGTTTTTCTTCCCTGTACGGGCGGTGTTGATGATGCTGTCCGACGCACAATACAATACCTTTGGCGGAACGGCTGCCTTGACTAAATATGCGCTGCTGTTCATTCAGTCGTTAACCCACCATTCCTCAACGCGCAGCATTGTGTGTCCAAGCGCAGACTCAGCGATTTTCCTATTTTCTGGAAGCACTTTGCCGCTGTTGAGAAACAGCAGCAGCAGCGCATTGGGGCCGAACATAACACAAGATTTCCATCGACGGAGGCCTTTTGCAAGTATTGCTATCAGTAGGGAGAATTACCAAGTAGCAGTTCAACCGCACCGTGCTATGCCCGAGTCTCGGTGTTCCCCTAGGGCTGTCGCGGTTCATCATGCGTATTTGTCTTTCTCAATCTGGTTCGTCTCGAGGCGACCTTGCCCAGACTTGCGCGTGGCACCGCGTGTTGCTGCTGTGTCCTGGCCGGAGGTCGGTGTCAGGGAGGGGCTACTGCTGTACCGACACCGTTTTTTTCATGACTCATTTTCAGTGTTCATTGCGTGGAAACCCTGGCGTGTCCTTGTCGCGTCGCAGAGGAAACCTGGCGGTCCCCAAGAGCAACGCCTTGTTGCATGTGGACCCATTTGCAGCGACCGGCGAAGAGTTTGTTCGCTGTGGCAAGCAGGCAGGCAAACCGCGCACTGCTCTTGTCAAGTCGCCCTCCCGGAAGTTTTGAGTCCCAACCGGACACCGAACGGAGTAGCCAAGAACACCCAACCACCGCGTTGAATCGCTAGACGCTAGACGCCTAGCAGCACCGCTATTATAGTACCGGCGGAGTTGTTTGGTTCCACGCTCGAATATGTCTCGACGCGCGTGTGGTGAACATGCCTCACCCGTGGAAGTAGCCTAAACATGGCAAGCTACCGACCTCATTGAGCGGTGGTTCGCCATGTCCAGCGTGCTGGCATGGCTCGTCCAGGTGCACAGCCAGTGGGGGGCTTGGACACCCATGCAGACGTCGAGATTCTGCGTTTCGACGAAGCGATGGCGCGTGAGCGATCCTCGTAACAAACCTCTTCCGAGAACATTACATATTGTCGAATGCTTGACAGGCTTTCCCCCTCCACCAAGCACATCATTCGTTCTTGTCGTTCTAACGCCATTCTTCGTGCCCGTCCCTTTCCACACCCCGCGCTACGGTACCCCGCCCCCCCCCCCCCCCCCCCCCCCCCCCCCCCCCCCCCCCCCCCCCC